CAGTTGACAAGAAGGTGTGTGTAACAGTAGGGAGAAATTAGTATAAAGACCTAAGTGGCAGTTCTTCAATAAAAAAACTTCAAAACCAGACTCCAACGTGAAGCTGCAGAACTGGAATTAATTTGCAAACTAGATACCATCAGATTAGGCCTGAATAAAGACTTGGAGTGGTTGGGTCATTAGAAAACCTAAACTTAATTTCCCCAATACTAATTTCTCTCTATTGTTACTCACACCTTCTTGGCAACTGTCTGTAATGGGCCATTCTCTTACCACTTCAAAAGTTATTTCTCCGTTTATGTTTTTGGGCATATTGGGCTGTGTTAGTAGGAGCATTGCTAGTAGATTGAGGGAAGTGTTTATTCCCCTCTATTTGGCACTGGTGAGGCCACACCTGGAGTATTGCGTCCAGTTTTGGGCCCCCCACTACAGAAGGGATGTGGACAAATTGGAGAGGGTCCAGCGGAGGGCAACGAAAATGATTATGGGGCTGGGGCACATGATTTACGAGGAGAGGCTGAGGGAACTGGGGTTATTTAGACTGCAGAAGAGAAGAGATGGGGGATTTGATAGCAGCCTTCAACTACCTGAAGTGGGGTTCCAAAGAGGATGGAGCTAGGCCGTTCTCAGTGGTGGCAGATGACAGAACAAGGAGCAATGGTCTCAAGTTGCAGTGTGGGAGGTCTAGGTTGGATATTAGGAAACACTATTTGACTAGGAGGGTGGTGAAGCACTGGAATGGGTTACCGAGGGAGGTGGTGGAATCTCCATCCTTAGAGGTTTTTAAGGCCCAGCTTGACAAAGCCTTGGGCTGGGATGATTTAGTTGTTGTTGATCCTGCTTTGAGCAGGGGATTGGACTAGATGACCTCCTGAGGTCTCTTCCAACCCTAATATTCTAACATATCAGAGAGCCAGAGGGTTGTTAGAGAGGAAGACGTAACAGGGCTTTTCCTTCTTTGATGTCTATGGTTCTGTGAGTTAAGGAGCAATACTTTGGATACCCTGCTCTTTAATGTCCCTCTTCTACTCATTGGGTTTGGTTGTGTTGCTTTTCTTAACCGGCCAAATTAAGGACTGTTTTAGGAGACATGAAACCTGCTTGTTCTACATGATGCTAGATTATATGTAATCAGCATTTCCAAGAGAGCTCGGCATACTGGGTATTAAGCATTCTGCGCTCTCTGGCCCATGATTAGGTGCATAAATGGAAGCTGAACTCTGCTGAAAAATCTGCCTCTGAGCGTTAGAGTCTGGTTGGCCCTTAGGTAGGTGCACTATGTGGTGGGGTGGGGAGAGGAAGGGGACAAGAAGCCTCCCTTCACTATGGCTCTACATCCTCTGTACTCAGGGGACCTCAGGGTGGGTACTGATAGGCTCCCCCAGGGAACATGGGGCTTCAGGCGCGGGAGTCATAGTTCTACTGTCTCTGGGAATCGGAGAGTGAAGCTGGCTGTTCACACCAGAGAACGTGAGGTGTGCTGGTTGCTCACAAAGGAAAGGGAACTTCCAAAAACCCAAACAAAGCTACACTTCTGTGTCAATTTCCTCACACTTGTCTAAAGCGTGTCTTTGTGTTTCTGAGAAACCTGGCATTGTAGAAACAGCAATGAATTTCTAGTGCTCCCTTTTCCTGTTGCTTTCATGACTAATTCAGCCAGTGCTGCTGTGTCTGCAGCCTCAAGTTCCTCACATGGCAGAACAGAATGGGCCCAGAGAAAGGAGGAACATTGAACCTTGAGTCTTACAGGGGCTCAGATTTGCTTGTCCCATCTCTAGTTTTCAGATGATTAATCCGTTTATGGAATTACTCCCCTGAATAGAAATCTCTTAGGGGATGGGAAACTCCTTGAAATTCTAATGTGATTGCGACAAAGCCTTTGGAAAAGTCTTTACATTTCACTGGTTGGCTTTACTTTATTGATTGGATTGCAGGATTTGATAGATGCTGGACGAGTGTGCTTTATACACATGCTGTGTACTTCTGCTTCCTCTTCCCCGACCCATTACATGTCTCCATAAAGGACTGATGCCTGGCACTTAGCTTAGGAAGAGGCCTGAACTGAGGATTTGGCGAGAAAATTCTCAGCAATTGAGGCCCTTAGTATGAAGGATGGTTGTGCCTTAGGGTTTAAAATCTGAATTACAATAATTAGTAAATCTGAATGGGGTTCAACCCAATTCTCCATTCGGGGGGGTAACCAATGCATGAAGAATATCTAGAGAGAAACATGGAAATAAGGCATAAGATTGCATCATCAGCAGGATATAGGTCATTCCAGAAGCCAAGTTCTTCTGTCAGTTCTGCAGTAGGGTGAATGTTTATTTCTTTAAATCTGTAGAAATGCTAGCAAAGGCACCTATCTATCTGGTCTAAGCTTTCTTCACATACCTAGGAAATATATCCTACAGGCAGCAGTATAATTTTAAGAGAACCACCAACCACTAATGAGCACTGTAAATAGTGAAATCCCCCACCTTTGTGATTAGCACCTCGAAATACCGGGGGGTGGGGCGGAAAAGGAGTCTCACTGGGGGAGATGATCAGATGCAAAGGAAGTGATTAAGGAAGCAAAGACTAGTAACCAGTCCCGTGTTTCATTTCATGTGCTTCATGGAAGCTCTTGCCATACAAGAGCCGGAAGGGATGGGGAGAAAGACACAACTCAAGCTGTAGAAGCACAAGGTGTTGGATGAAAATGTTTATACCAGAAGGGATCCTACTTCAGGAGACAAAAATGGCAAACAAGCCAGGTTTAAATGAGGGGTGGGAGGAAGCCTGGGAGAGCTCCCAGCCCTAAAACTTGAGAGAAGATAGTCACAGAGAAATGCACCCCTCTGATCTTAGGAGTGCAATCCCCTCTGTCCTTGAGCCTGAGTTTGCAAGTTGCATTTGCAGTCCTTACTCACACACATAATTCCATTGACATCACTGGGAGGGCTCGTGTGGATGTGTTCCAGGAAAAGGCAACCCACTGGCTGACCTGATAGTGCTGCTTGAGTGTCTGTTCACTTCCATATTAAATATCCAGTTGCTTTAAAATGTGCCAGCCGGGATTCATCCCCCATGCTGGTGCAGAGCATGGTTTTCATCTCTGTCAAGAAACAGGGTGAAGTCTCCCTCCACCCACAGAGCACTGTGCCACACAGGCTTTCTCTGTGGCAAGAGACATCGGAGTGGGAGAGGCAGTGTGCCTGAGCCATGGCAGATAGGCTTGGGAAAACCCCTGCATAAGAGGTGCATAGGGGGTCACTATCACTACCACAGCTCACTCACTATCTGGCTGCTCCATACACCATCCTCTCAACCCCATGCATAGGCCCCTGGACAAAGCCTATTTATCTGGGCGTTGTGTAGGAGGACAAGAACCTGCTCCTGTGTGGCCAAAGATTCACAGAGTCAGGAGTGGAACCCAGGACTCCAACTTCTCCTGTTCCAGACCAAACTCGCCAGCCTCCCTGTTCCACTCAAGGTGTGTTCATCCCCAAACTTCCCAAGCAGCGACTCCCATGTATTGGAGTCTGAGCTTGGGATTTCTTTTTCAATCCTCTGCCTTCTGCTGGTGGATACACAACCATGTTGAGTCAGTGTCTGTCTCAGGGGCCCACTTGGGAATCCTAGTACTACGTGCTAGGAATTAGTAACCTTGGGCCAGATCCTCCAATGTATTTAGGCTCCTAAATCAATGAAATCAGTGCAGGTTATGCAACTAAATACCTTTGAGGCTCTGGGCCCATTTACCTGAGAACATGACAGTACAATAACGGACTTTGAAACATGGCAGAATCTTTCTAATGGAATCCACCATTATTACTTAAATCTACCACTCGCTGCCACTCTTCCGTCTCCACGGCACATTGATTAGAGTTCAGAAATGGCTTTCCGGGATTTCTTGTTCTCTCGGTCTCTTGCTGTACATAAACGTGGCAGTGCAAACAGCAGGCACGAGAGCAGGGCAACATGTGTTTTGAGTCTACGCTTTGCACGAATCCCTCATCGCATTCCCATGCCCTGCATGCTGCCTCGGAAGGTGTCATTGGTCTGGGACGCAGCAGAGGTCCACAGGAAACATTTGGCTTCACACCATATGCTGGCAGCCTAAAGCACTGCCAGAGAGACTGCTGTGCCTGAGCCTACACTGGTTTGTTGTTTGTCTTTCTAGAACCTGATACATGCCCCTCTTGCTCACTGATGTCAGTAGTAGTTAATGCGTAGCTTTTCCTCCAGGGATCTCAAAGCACTTTACAAACACTGGGGATGATTCTGCTTGGGTCCCTGAGCATTCCACCTGAGTAAGGAACGCAGTCTCCCAATACTTTGTGAACCATTTTAGAAATGGGTAAACCGAGGCATGCAAAGGCCACATGACAGAGTGTGAGGCAATAAGGAATAGAACCCAGGAGTCCTTGCTCAAACTCATTGAGCTGCACTTCCCCCCTCAAGAGGACATTGCAGAATAACGCTACATACACTGTTTCCAAAGAAACAATAACAATACTTGTATAGATAGTTCTGCTCAACAGTAGATCTCAAATCGTCCTGCCGTGGCTGGTGAGCATCATTTTACAAACAGAGAACCTGAGACTCAGGGAAGTTCACTAGACTTACCCAGAGTCACACAGCCAATCAGTGGCAGAGCTAGAAAGAAGCCCCAAGGAATAGGGGTCCTAGTCTGAGGTCCAGTCCACCCTATTGTTATTCCCCCACTGCATAAAGTTATGGCATTAGCCAAGCACCCATTTAAGAACCAGCTCTACAAATACAGATAATGTGCTTAATTAAGACACAGTCATTTCTTCCTTTTTGCCGCGGTTGTGTCTGTTTCACAACTCGATAGCCACTGACATAGCCTCACCTTTTCTTGACCTGTAGAATGATTTCTAATTCCTCTACCTGTCTCCAGCACTGAAAGATAGCAACAGTTCATATTTAATGAGGTAAAAGTGCTGGCTACAAGAATGAAAATGAAAGTGAAAGTTCCTTGGTGTTATGATGGGAAATCCAGTGCTTTCATTTCATACCCTGAGCTCAGGGATAAACACGAAGCAGGAAAATTCCCACTTCTACTCCCCTGCCAGGATATGAAAACAACCCCACGGGCCAAAGCATCTGCAGAATAAACTGGAGTGGGAAAGCTTATAGTTTACAGCTGAAGTCCTTTTCTTGCAAGATTGCCAGCTGCTGGAAGTGACTTTACTAGGGAACAAAGCAGTCAGGGATCGAAAACTTATTCTGGATGCTTGTCAGCTTTCAGGTACTGTACTAGGTTATTCTTTTTCAGGCTCTGAACAGGTGACGGCCAGATTGTTTTTTTCCATTACAAAGCTTGCTGGTTTCCAGTTTAAACAGTCAGTTAGGAATTTGTATTGAAAATCTAAGTCATCAGCTGAGCAACTCATGCTTTTAGAACATATCCTGTAGAAGGAAGTTCCTCGTTGCTTCTGTTTTATGCATGTTGCTTAGGATATGCAAACAATTCTCTGCAATTTTGAATATTTTCCCAAATGTTTTAATCCCACAAAGATTGCTTTTGCCTGCCATGAGATGAGACTAAGGCTATGTATTCATTGAAAAATATTTGTACGTTGTTTTGTAGTTTGTCTTGCATGTCGAGTTAGATATCACAATGTAGTTTTACCTCTCTGTGTAATTAGTTGAGGTCAAACACCCCTGACCTGGGATTTACATCAACTAACTACATGGAGGTAAAAATTATAGTCTGCAGTAGGAGTTTACATTCAGATTGCTAACCATGTAAAAACACACCACCTTGTTTTGCAGCAAAGACACAACCTGTGAAACAGGTGTGCTAGAAATGTTCTGCATTTGAGTGCTGCTCAGCAAAACTTTTGCATGATTCTCTCCTGTCTTCGCACCATTTATACCTGTGCAAAGTGGGTAAAAAAATGTTACCCTATCAAAACGGTCCCATCTGACAGCCACTTTGCACAGGTATGAATAACCATACAAGGGGCAAAACAGTGGACAGTCAGGACCTGAATCACTGTAACACATGCAGAATTTCAATCCTCAGGTGACAGAGTAACAGCCGTGTTAGTCTGTATTCGCAAAAAGAAAAGGAGTACTTGTGGCACCTTAGAGACTAACCAATTTATTTGAGCATAAGCTTTCGTGAGCTACAGGTCACTTCATCGGATGCATACTGTGGGAAGTGTAGAAGATCTTTTTATACGCACAAAGCATGAAAAAGTATTTTCATGCTTTGTGTGTATTTTTTCATATTTTTTCATGCTTTGTGCGTATAAAAAGATCTTCTACACTTTCCACAGTATGCATCCGATGAAGTGAGCTGTAGCTCATGAAAGCTTATGCTCAAATAAATTGGTTAGTCTCTAAGGTGCCACAAGTACTCCTTTTCTTTTTGCGAATCCTCAGGTGAGTGTCCCATCACACTGATGCTATTTGTCATATCCTGTTAGCGGGTTTTTTTGGGGAGGGGATGACCCCTTTCCCCAAAGTGGTTATTTTGTAGATGTTTTGCAAAGGAATGGTTTTTAATAGCTTGCCATTACTTTACAATTAAAATTCTTGCAACTCTTGATTTTGATAAGTAGGAGGCACTGAAAGTTACATTACAGCATGGATTTATACTGAGATTTGTTGTGACTGCAGCAGGGCTGGAAGCAAACCAGTAACAATTTAGTTTGCAGGGATGTATTGACTTGAAATTAACTTTCCACACAGCCTCATCTCTTTTCATTTAAAATCCCTTTAAAAGCTGTAAGCAGTAAACAACTCTTGAGTATTATCCAGCGGTTTGAGCAAATGTGCTTTAAAATATTCAGCTTATTTTGCATTCTTTTCCACGGAGTCCCCATGCCCCAGTTAATTGCTGATTTCTCTTTTTTGTTTGCCTCAGAGCCGTGTTGTCCTTTCTCGTCATCTTGCATGTTTTCTTTTAGGGTGGTAGCGCTTATTTTGTAGTGTGACTGACAGGGAAAAGTGTTTTCCCCAGTTGAGTTAATGGGTCCCAATTCATTTCAGATGTAACTCAGCAGGAATGACCCTTAACGTGAATATAAATCCAGCTAGGATTGCCAGAACGAAGCTGCAGACCCAGCATGGCAATTCAAGGAAGGCTTTTCTGGGGCTGTTTTTTTTTTTGTTGGCTTGACTTCCTTGTTGTCGTCAATAGCTCACATTTTGTTTAGTTTCAGAGTAACAGCCGTGTTAGTCTGTCTTTGAAAATGAAAAGGAGTACTTGTGGCACCTTAGAGACTAACCAATTTATTTGAGCATGAGCTTTCGTGAGCTACAGCTCACTTCATGAGCATAAGCTTTCGTGAGCTACAGCTCACTTCATCACTCACTTCATCCCTGCCTAATAGCCATTGATGGACTTATCCTCCATTAACTTATTTAGTTCTTTTTTGAACCCTGTTAGTACCTTGGCCTTCACAACATCCTCTGGCAAGGAGTTCCACAGGTTGACTGTGCATTGTATGAAGAAATATTCCCTTTTGTTTGTTTTAAACCTGCTGCCTACTAATTTCATTTGGTGACCCTTAGTTCTTGTGTTATGAGAAGGCGTAATTAATACTTCCTTATTTACTTTCTCCACACCTGTCATGATTTATAGACCTCTATCATATCTCCCCTTAGTCATCTCTTTTCCAACCTGAAAAGTCCCAGTCTTATTAATCTCTCTTCATATGGAAGCTGTTCCATATCCCTAATCATTTTTGTTGCCCCTTTCGGTACCTTTTCTAAATCCAGTATATCTTTTTTGGGATGGGGCAACCGTATCTGCACGCAGTATTCAAGATGTGGGCGTACCATGGATTTATATAGAGGCAATAGGATATTTTCTGACTTATCATCTATCCCTTTATTAATGATTCCCAACATTCTGTTTGCTTTTTAGCCTGCTGCTGCACATTGAGTGGACATCTTGTCCTCCATGCCCCTTTGTACAGATGGACACAAATGAGTCACTGATGTAACTCTACTGACATAAGAGGGTTACACCAGGAATGAATTTAGCCCTCTGCTTGTCACTCACAGTACTTAGAACTGGTTCCCCGGCCTTGTTCGAGCAAGCCTCCATGATTTAAGGTGGGAGGAAGTGAGGTTTAGTCATCAGAGTAGCAGTGTAAGATTGGGGACTCCTGAGCTGAAATCCTGGTTCCATGGATGCTAATGGGAATTTTGCTATTAATTTCAATAGGAACCATTCTTTCACCTCTGCTTTATATTCTTCCCTTTGCCATAGAATCACCTTATGATCCTGAGCAATGCCCATGGCCTCTTTGTGCCTCAGTTTATCTGTCTGTAGAACAACTGGGCTGTGAGAATTATCTGCATAATATTTGGGAAGCACTTTCGAATCCTTAGTTTTATTTTTACTGAGCCAAACCGTGCAGTCCTAAGTGTTCACTCAAGAAAAATCCCCCTGCCTTCACTGGGTGCTTTGCCAGAGTAAGGGTTGACCCTTGATTAACGTTGTATCAACATTGTATATTCCCAGTATTAAGAAGACTGATCTCTGGGCCACTAGGTTAATCTATTTATTTCTGTCTTAATAAACACAGGGCTTGTGTATAGCAAATGAAATGCAAAACACAAAAGCAAAATCAGGGAAAAACGAGAGACACGAAAAGGTTGCAGCTGATGAACAAAATTCATGCACAAATAACCCTTTCCTATCTGAGCTCTGAGCTTTCTAGTTAGGGCCAGAGAGTCTGATTCATTATCTGCCAAACTCCCTTCCTTCTTTGGTTAATTCCCCCCCTTTCCCACCCCTCATTTTCGATATTTGCTCTTGTTCTTCTGCGAAAGGCAGTTCACAGGGGGCCAAACCCATCACATTAATTTCAGCAGAGCTACCCAAGGGCTGAATTTAGCCCAGGGTATAGGTAGCCTTGCCAGAAGTGAGGCTTATCAGAAAAACCCTCCCTAGTTTTCCAGCCCAAATCTGGAAACACAAGAAATGTGTGTGTGGTTCAGCGAAGGACATCATACAAAATATGAGATATCTCACTTATCTGTCCTATTACACTGCAAGGTTTTAGTCAATTAAAAACCCAAAACAAGATAGGCTTTGGCTAAGCAAATCATGCTGTGGCCAAGAACAAGGGTTCATGGGATTTAGGAATTCAGTTCATGCAGGAGGAAACCTTACTCATAGACTTTAAGGTCAGAAGGGACCATCATGATCTTCTAGTCTGACCTGCATATCGCAGCCCACAGAACCTCACCCCACCCACCCACACACTCCTGTAATAGACCCTTAACCTCTGGCTGAGTTACTGAATTCCTCAAATCATGGTTTAAAGACTTTAAGTTACAAAGAAGCCACCATTTATACTAGTTTAAACCTGCAAGTGACCTGTGCCCCATGCTGCAGAGGATGGTGAAAACTCCTCAGTGTTTTTGCCAATCTGACCTGGGTGAAAATTCCTTCGTGACCCCAAATATGCAGATCAGTTAGATCCTGAGTATGTCCGGCAGCTACCTGGGAAAGAATTCTCTGTAGTTACTCAGAGCCCTCTCCATCCCTCATCATACCATCCCCTCCATTCACTTCTCAAGCTCAGTCTTGAAGCCAGTTAGGATTTTTGTACTCCCCCCCCCACACTGCTCTCCTTGGGAGGGTGCTCCAGAACTTCACTCCTCTGATGGTTCGAAACCTTCATCTAATTTCAAGTCTAAACTTGTTGATGGCCAGTTTACATCCATTTGTTTTTGTGTCCCCATCGGTGCTTAACTTAAATAAGTCCTCTCCCTCCCTGGTATTTATCCCTCTGATAAATTTACAGAGAGCAATCCTCTCTCCCCTCAGTCTTCTTTTGGTTAAGCTAAACAAGCCAAGCTCTTTGAGTATCTTCTCATAAGGCAGGTTCTCCATTTCTCAGATCATCCTAGTAGCCCCTCTTGGCACCTGTTCCCATCTGAATTCATCTTTCTTAAATATGGGAGACCAGAATTGCACACAGTATTCTAGGTGAGGTCTCAAAGTGCCTTGTATAACAGTACTAACACTTCGATGTCTCTATTGGAAATACCTGTCTGGATGTGCCAAGGTCGGTGATAAAAATGTTAAATAAGACTGGTACTAAGGAACTCCCTGAGGAACTCCACTAGTAACCTCCCTCCAGCCTGACAGTTCACCTTTCAGTATGACCCACTGTAGTCTCTCCTTTTATCAGTCCCTTATCCACCTTTCAGTTCTCATATTAATCCCCATCTTCTCCAATTTAACTAATAACTTCCCAAGTGGAACTGTGACAAATG